TAAATTCACGAACGGAGGTAATATTTTCTCTTTTCTCTCCGCCTGATGAAGACCGCTTGTGTTGCGATCGAAACGTCGTGGGGGTTTTTTTGTTGCTTTTATTATTTTAAATTTATTTGTATTTTTAAATGTATTTATTATTTTTTATTTTCTACCTACGTGACTTTACCGAAAGAACCAAAAATATGATATTTTTTTCAAGTCAACGGTGGTTGCTGTTCCGCGTTTGTGTATCCCCGTGTCGTTCCGGCACAGCTGGTGTTAGCGGGGGGGGGGGGTGTGTGTGGGGTTAGGGGGGTGGGTGCCCTTACGGCGCCGATCCGCGCTGGGAAATGCAATGGGCGATGGCGGCGGGGGTCCTGCGCCGCGCCGCCGCACGGACGCGGACAATGGCGTCCGACACTCCGCTGGCCAACGCCATGAGGCTCCGCAACCAGCTGCAGAGCGTCTACAAGCTCGACCCGCTGCGCAACGAGGTGAGGCGCTCGAGGGGGGGGGGGGGGTGTGTGGGGTTAGGGTGGGGGGAAGTGTTTCGATCCGCGCGCGGCGGCTCGCGATCGTCGACGCTGCGCGGGCCGCGGCGGAGTCCGGGCGTCGACCGAAAAGTGGGTGGTAGAGAAATCGCCTAGGCCGAGGGTCGGGCCCCCCCTCGCTTGCCTGGGCGGGCTGCCCGCGGAAGGTTGCTGCGACCCGGCAGGGACAGTGGGCCGGGTTCCCGGTGGGAAAGGGGGGTGGGGGAGTTTGAGGGAGAGGGGGACTGAGTGGCGAACGCGTGGTGGGAGAGTGTTTGTTGTTGTGTGCCTCCCGTGTGTTTGTGTGCGCCTCTGTTAATAGAATGTGTAAGAAGTATGACTGCGTGCGGGATAAGTGTGTTGTTCGTGGACAGTACGTGCGCATGTGTGTGCAGTGGGGAGCGGTGGCGTAGCGGTTAGCGCTACGCTGCGCTACGAAACCCGGAGACCCAAGTTCGATTCCCGCTCACGGCCAACACCGGTGACGATGTTCTGATCCGGTTCTGGCCCTCCTCTAGATCGACTCGGTCTCAACATTTTTTGTTGTTATTATTTGAAGTCACTTTTTTATCTACGTGACTTTACCGAAAGAAGCAAAGAATATGAGTGTCCTGGTTGCGGTGTGTAGTAAACATCGCCACTGGGGAGACAAAGGCGGCCGGGCGTGGTGCCGGCCACCCACCCCCTCGTGTGCCGTGCCGACCTTCATAGGTGCTCGGTAACAGCACTTGCCCCTACAGTCTGTTAAGGCTATACGGGGGGGTCTTTGTCTTTGTACAGTGCTTGCCACCATGAATAAATTATGCGTGCCGAATGATGTTTCTTGTCTGGCGTATTTGCGGTATCCAATTCGGTGTATGTGTGTGGTTGTGTTGTGTATTTGTGTGTACAGTAGGCGTTACGCATGTACGTGTGTGTGGGGAGCGGTGGCGTAGTGGTTAGCGCGCTGCGTTGCGAACCCGGCCAACACCGGTGACGATGTTCTGAACCGGTTCTGGCCCTCCCCTAGATCGACTCAGCCTCAAGTGAGTACATGGTGCGGTGTGTAAACGTCGCTGCTAGGGAGACAAACGCGGCCGGGCGTGATTGCTGGCCACCCACCTCCCCCTCGTGCGTCGTGTTAGCCTTTAAAGCTGCTCGCTAACAACAGAGATCCATACCTGCCTTTGTAAAACATCAGTGGCGAGTGGTATCTGAATCTGTCTTGCGACTCCCAAGACACACTGACATTTTGTGTACATACTTGGTGTTATGTGAAGGGAAATAAAGGCGGACAGGTATGTTTCTGACGACACCCATCTCAATGTGTGCTGTGCAGTCAGTGGAAGTGTTCCCTAACAGCACTTGCCACTGCGGTCTTAAAAGCTAACCGGGGGGGGGGGGTAAATGTAGCGTCTCGGTGTGCGTTCATGCTGCGCCGATATGTTGATCGATGTTGGTAGTGAATCTTGGCTTTGTCTCACCTACAGGAGGAGGTGAACGTGAAAATTAAGGACCTGAACGAACACATCGTGTGTATACTCTGCGCCGGGTACTTCGTGGATGCCACCACCATAACAGAATGTCTGCACACGTGTGAGTAAAGAGCTTGGGGATCTCACTTACCTTACACCACACTGGCGTGGGTTTGTAATAAGAAGCAGGAGACGTTACTCCGCTTTTACAAGGCCACTTTACATATTTGAGAGAATATGTTAAGACCCGTCTAAATTCTGTCTATATCCTCCAGTATAAATGCGGATTATGATATTCCTGCTTTTGTATGTGATATTCCCACATACAAAAACAGGTGCTCACTAGAAGTATTTTGTTGTTTTATACTTTTACGTGACTTTACCGAATAGAACCAAAGAGTATGGATCCTTGCAGTCACGAAAGCTTCAAATCTAGAATTGCTCACTAGAACTTTCATGTGTTTTTTTCATTGCTTCAAAACTGCCAGACAAGGAGGGCACAACACATTAGCGATGATGGCCAGTGGTCAAAACTAACAACGGGATGGAAGCTAAAGAGGGATACATCTTCTGAGAATGTCCGAGGAGGAAATGGAGTGATTCAATTGGCTCGTGCAGGAAACCCTGAGAGGTGGAAGGCCTTCATCCAGCATGGCTAATGGCTGATCATGGGACATGTATGCCGATTGCGAGTGGGATACATTGAAAAAATTGATAGAACTTTCGATTTAGATTGTAGATTATTTTAAACCCTCTTATTAATTCACATTAACAGCAAATCTAGGAACATAAAAAACTACGCGAAAACCGATTGTGGTTTTTGTAGAAGACAGGTGTGTGTGCGAGCAGGGTTGAGTGCTTTATTATACTTATGTAAAGTTTTCCGACTATCCTATACACAAAAAAATAATTACGTCCTTCATATAAAGAGGTGAAAACCAAGTTAACTACAATGTGTTGTAAAAATAGAGAACTGGCATTTCAGCTCTGTTTCCACAAACATACATAGATGTGAATGTAATTGGTTTGCCATTGTCTTTTTGTGTTTGCTGAGGTAGTCTGCAAGAGCTGCATTGTGAAATATCTGCAGACAAGCAAGCACTGCCCCATGTGCAACATCAAGATCCACGAGACACAGCCCCTTCTTAACCTCAAGCTGGACCGGGTGATGCAGGAGATCGTGTACAAGTTGGTACCCGGCCTGCAGAACGGTGAGCTGCTGTGGCGTTTCTTCTGACAAGATGTTTTCGCTCGTGCTGGGTTTTTTTTGCTCTCTTTGTTTAATTTGTGTTCCAGTTGTGCATCTGGCCAAATCACTCAGAATGGGCCTGGTGTTGTCAGATCACGGATCCTGGATAGTGCTTGGAAGGGTGACCACCATGCATAAAATAGGTATTGTAGGCCGCTTCAGGGCTGTGTTGTCAGCTGGGGGCAGTGCAGAAAAATCCACTCTACTGTGCAGTGCTCCAATGTCTCTGCTCCCCTGCCTTGACCAACACTCACTGACCAATAGGGTGATTGATTGCCAATTAAGCCCCATCACCTGCATGGTGAGTGGCCTTCTTCTGTGTAGCATGTAAGCTTATGAAACTATCTTCATACTGTGAGAAGGGGACTACTGCCACTTTGATGATATAAACCTTTGATTTTTTGGCAAGTTATTGTGGGTGTAACGAGGCATCGATTTGTTGATTAATATTGATTCTTAAGCTCACGGAGCTTGTATTGAATCTCGCGTGGAGGAATACATTTTTAAAAGTATATGTTCTCTGTAATGGGATCATGTGACCCTTCTTGGCACTCTCGGCCACTATGTTCACTAATATGTATATTTAAAAAAATCGATATGTTCATTGAATCATAGAATCATGTATGTAAACCCATACAATTTATATGACAAATTATCATTAGTTTGCTTGTTTATCCATAAAATCCTCCCTGAGTCTCAAGACTTTTTCAGGAGGGTCCTGCCAAGTATTCGATGTTGCTACCTGTCATCTCAATTGCGTAATTTGCAGATCAATTTTTTTCAGCATTTAAATGTTTGGCCACTATCAGTTACATCACTTTGCATTTTTTTTGCTATGAGAGGAAACCGGAGAACTCAAAATAAACCTATACAGAACAGTGGGAGAACATACAAACTTGGCATAGAAAGGTGCCTTAGGGCACAAGTGCTAGGACTGCACCACCGTGCTACCCAAATGGCATTAAATAGGTAAAGAATACAAATTGCATGAAATAGGTGGTGTGTTTATGATAAAACTGTCATACATACAGTGAGGGAAAAAAGTATTTGATCCCCTGCTGACAAAGAAATGATCAGTCTATAATTTTAATGGTATGTTTATTTGAACAGTGAGAGACAGAATAACAACAAAAAAATCCAGAAAAACGCATGTAAAAAATGTTATAAATTGATTTACATTAAATTGTGTTACCAAGTGTGTTACCAATTGTTTTCTTGGTGACTATGGTCCCAGCTGCCTTGAGATCATTGACAAGATCCTCCCGTGTAGTTCTGGGCTGATTTCTCACCGTCCTGATGATCATTGCAACTCCACGAGGAGAGATCTTGCATGGAGCCCCAGGCCAAGGGAGATTGACAGTTCTTTTGTGTTTCTTCCATTTGCGAATAATCGCACCAACTGTTGTCACCTCACCAAGCTGCTTGGCAATGATCTTGTAGCCCATTCCAGCCTTGTGTAGGTCTACAATCTTGTCCCTGACATCCTTGGAGAGCTCTTTGGTCTTGGCCATGGTGGAGAGTTTGGAATCTGATTGATTAATTGATTCTGTGGACAGGTGCCTTGTATACAGCTAACAAGCTGAGATAGGAGCACTCCCTTTAAGAGTGCTCCTAATCTCAGCTCGTTACCTGTATAAAAGACACCTGGGAGCCATACATCTTTCTGATTGAGAGGGGTTCAAATACTTATTTCCCTCATTAAAATGCAAATCAATTTATAACATTTTTGACATGCGTTTTTCTGGATTTTTGTTGTTGATATTCTGTCTCTCACTGTTCAAATAAACCTACCATTAAAATTATAGACTGATCATTTATTTGTCAGTGGGCAAACGTACAAAATCAGCAGGGGATCAAATGCTTTTTTTCCTCACTGTACATACATCAATAGAGGTACGTAGCTCGATCTGGTTTGTTTATGGTAGAGGCAACTGTGGTGTTTGCAACATCCAAAGCTAATTGCTGTCATCATATCATATAGACATTTAAGTCCATGCATTAGAATACATTGCAGAAATAATAACATAATTAGTTTGGTACTAATTTATTTGACGAAACTTGGCACTTAATAAAACCAATATACCATCAAACCCAAAAGTAAGTTGGCTTAAGTTTTTACGATTCTTGGATTGGATTAATTTTTTTATTGGATGTTTTTAGCATCCAATCAGTTTAGAGATATGCATGTAGGTTGCAGGCATTTGTTGTGCTTGGTTGATGAAGAAAAAAAAGTATTTTTACAATGTACATACACTGGACATGATTACCAAAAGTGTCCCCCTGGTGATACAAGAAACATTTTATAACAGTGTAGTGCATTATAGCGTCTCGAGTGGCCGCAGAGGTCATGCGAGCCTCTCACGCATGATAGGATGAATGCATGGTAAGCTGAAGAATCATTGTTGCATCATTACACCCCTGCTATATAGTAGGCATGTAACAATGCGCTCACTCATCGATGAACACCAAATAGGTTTGATTCATACATGTTGTCATTGGTTTATATGTGACCTCTGCAGCCTTTACAGGTGCTACATTTGTAAAAAAGTGCCTTATGAGTTCAAGTCATTATTAATCACCACAGTTTTAAAATTGAGTGAAATGACGACGCCAAATCGTGATAAATTATCAAATAACGAGGGTGGGCAAACCGTTACGTACCAAGCACACAAAATAGGCATGCTCGTGTGCGATTTACATGATGGAAAACAAATTAACAATAGGCTTTACCCTTTCTGGAAAAAAGGTCCCAGAGATATAACTGCTCTACCCGAGCCGTTTATGCACTACGTCTCCACCACTGTGACTACACCCTGGTAAACCAAGGGATCTTGTCGATGGGGACGGGATAGTCGAGCAACCAGCCGCCGCCGGCCACGCGCTCGCCGGTCATCTCGTCGCGCCACGTCAGCGCCGGCCCCGGCACGTAGACGTCGCGCTTCAAGGCGCCCTTGCGCACGACGGGGGCCACCAGCACGCGGTCTCCGATCAGAAACTCGTCGTCGCTGGTGAGCGCCTCGTGGCCGCGTGGCTCCAGCCACCAGATGGGCCGGATGACCGGCGATCCCGTGCGCACGGCCTCATGCGCGAAGTGCACGATGTGGTCCGACACGATGGTCTCGTGCAGCGCGGCGTAATGGCGCGAGATTCCCACCACGTCGTGCGTGGAGTTACCGGCGTACTGCCAGGGAGAGATGGAGAACTGCATGACCGGCATGAAGGCGGTGACTTCGAGCCAGCGGATGTACAGTTCCTCTTCGGGCCGGAAGTCGGTGCCGTGGAAGCCGCCCTCGTAGGCGTTGCCGCCGATCATGTCCGGCAGGATGAACGGGTAGCCGAGCACGCTGAAGGTGAGGGCCGTGGGCACGAGCGTGAGCAGCCCCTTGCTGTAGCCCCAGTTGGAGTCCTTGTCCATCATGCGGTAGAAGACGGGCAGGCGCTGGCCTTGCCATCCGGCACGCAGCTCGACCTGGCCTCCGAAGCGTGCCGCCGTCTCGGCGTACAGCTTGGTGTAAATGCCGGGGTTCACCATTGGCGCGCGCGTCACGAAGCGCGGAGGGAGGTAGTTGATCTCGCCCGCGTCGAACTTGAAGGAGTCGATGCCGTAGGTGGTGCGGACGTGCTCCAGCTTGGCGACGTACCAGGAGCGCGCCAGCGCGTTGGTCATGTCGACGGTCGCACCTATTCCGTTCCACCACCTCAGCAGGCCCGGCACGTGGTTTTTTTCGGCCTTGATGAAGTAGCCTCTGTCTGCCCCTTCTACATGCGCAAACGAGAACGCACGGTATATACGAGCGTGCAGATCCAGAATTGATCATTGTGCATGCCTGTGTGGAAGTTGTTAGTTACATATCAAGGGCATTATGCAAGTCAATGGCAGTATGTCAAATCCAGGTGAACTACTAATTATTATCATTCATAGTAAAGCATATGGTTCGCTGTTTTGGAGCATCATTGGTATTATAGTCAATAAATAATCCTACATCCGTGTCTCCACAAAAATACAATGTGTAAAAAAGTATTACTTGTAAAAATGAAAAGAAACCTTTAATAATTTTCCTGCTATATGTAAAACCATAGATTTGTTTAAATATTTGCTATTACCTTGTTCCCTCAATACTAAAAACAGTCACAGAAAACCAGTAGTCGTCCTCACCGGCAAATCTGTGATAACATCACAACAAAACTAATGGAATCTACAAGATTCCTTTAACATTCACACACACAATCTAATTCACATCTTTGTTTTTTAGCCAGGTGTGTCCGGGTTGGCGACCTGCAATTGTTTTTGCACACGGCACACCACATCCAGTATACCTATCGCTATGGCTGCGGATACCAGTCAGGTGCCTACTGCAGTCTAGGAGCTCCACGGTGGCGAGATGTTAACTACCTCGCCTGGTATACAGGAGGTTTTGGGTTCGATCCCAACCCTGGTGCCTGTATATTTGGAGTTTGAATGTTCTTCCTGTGGTCGCATGGATTTTTTACCGGATCCTCCGGCTTTTTTCGCCACATTTAAAAACATGTGTTTTATAGAGTATTTGGCTCCTTTACATTTACACATTATAAGCCACTTCATTGAGCTATCATTTGTGGCCAGGTCACTTCTGGAAAAGAGCTATATAGCTCAGTGGGCCTTACCTGGTAAAATAAAAAAATTGTCGTAGTAAATAGTTATCAGCGACCCAAAGTGCATTTCCGTGTGGACGTAAGCCCCCGGTTACACCGTCACCTTTAAAACTGGGCGAGTCCGTGTTGATGAAGGGCGTGACCCACGTGGTGACGCGGAAGCCCATCGCCTTGAGCTCACGCACCATCCCCGCTGCGTCCGGGAATTTGACGGGGTCGAAGGTGAAGTCTCCGTAGTGCGTCTCGTAGCCGTCGTCGATCTCCAGCTGGCTGTTGCCGAAGTTGTTGGCGAGGATCTCGCGCGCGTAGCCTAGCACGCTGCTCTGGTTGATGCCCACCTTGTAGCGCGCCCACGTCGACCAGACGGGTCGCCGGATCATCCGCTCGTCGGGCACGTCCGTGGGCCTGCCCAGCCGCTCGGAGACCACGTGGGCGTGCGTACTCACGATGTCCGGCCCCGAGCACGTGGCGTAGCGCAGGCTGGGCGGCGGCACGCCCCCCGCGTCCCACGCGCCAGCCGCGGGGTATGGGTAGGGGGCGTTGCGGTAGGAGCCCTTGAGGCAGATGCGGCCGTCGCCGTTGCCATTGATGCTGGCGTGGAGTGGGCTGGTGGCGTCCCCCCATAGCGCCGCGCCCGCCGAGGAGAGCCAGTAGCGCTCGAGCAGAGAACCGTACTGCTGCTCGTCCGAGAACATGTCGCCCGACAGGTAGAAGGACATGGTCTTGTTCCACGAGTTGATGGGCCACCGCTGCGAGTACATCTCCGCAGCACCGTACCTGGATGGGAGAGAAGAAGGCTGCCGTTTGTTAACGGGCCATCCACTGTGGATTCATTATATCACATCAGCTGTAAATTTAACTGTTCGCTTCTTTTTTTTGGCGTGGATATATGGAAATGTGGCTGGACCGGGAGAGCTGAGGACAGCTTGAGTATACAAGACTGGGCTTTAAATAACATTTAGATATATATGCGTATATACGGGTATATATATACAGTAGTCCCTTGGTTAACAGTGACATCGATTAACGGTTATGTGGTGAACGTTTTGCCTCCCATAGGATCCCATGGTTTCGACGAATGCAAACATTTTGAGAAAGTGTTTCTGTTATGCACGCGGACGCCAATTTCGACCAATCCGAGCGCTCGTAAGTGGGCTGAGCATGCCATGGCCAATCAGCGACGCCCATTTATTATAAGTGTATAGACCCCGACTGGCTTTGTTTACGTTTTGTTTTCTGTTTTGGCAGTGGAAACAGCTCTCTTGCAGACTCCGTGCTTTTTCCTTTTTTTTCCAACTCATAAGTAAATTCGATTAACAGTTATTTCGGTTAACAGTAGTTTTCGTGGAAAGGATTAAAAACGCTAACCGAGGGACTACTGAAAACACTTTCTGTGTGTGCGTATACTCTGATCGCTAGAGTTGAGACCACAAATGTTACTATTCAGACCACCGGCACTACCACTGGAACCACCCGCACTGCAGAGACTGTGTGCTGCACGTGGTTTTTCCTGTCAGGGCTGAGTTTTTATTTTTTAAAATTGAATATGCTATCCAAATGTACCGAGACGTTAACGTGAGACACGCCCATAGAGGAATCGTGATTCCTGCAGTAACCAACCAGGGTGGAATTGTAGGAATCGAATACGATGCTTGTTGGAATCGAATACGATTCTTGTTGGAATCGCCCAACTCTATTGACAGTCATTATTTATATTGGCATTCAACACCAGAGCAGAACACGGACAGCTCGTAAACATCGCCGTGAGTGGTTTCAAATTTCCCTTTGATTTATTTCGGTGTTCTCATATATTTTTTTTATAATTATACAGAAACACAAGGACATAGAGCCCCTTGCTGCCAGCTGTCTGGCGGTAAGATTAAAAACAAGCGTTGGCAGTGCTTGTTTGCTTAACAGTAAAAGTGAATTGCGCTTGCAAGAGATGCCTATGATTTTAATGTTGCTGACTGAAGCAAAGAAACCTTCGCCTCACAGTTACCAGGTTAAATTTGTTAATATCGACATGAACGTTAAGTTGAAATTTGCTTGACTAATTTTGCGAACATTTCTGCGTGAGAAAAAAACAAATAAAATAGTTGGTAGTGCCACGAGCATTGGTGTCGAACCAAAATAACAAAGAAGAGCTCTTTTTTTTATTCTGTAAAAAAAAAACTCAACATTTCAAGCACTTCGACGCACGTGATGAACCTCGTCGAGACAGCGGTCCCTAATAAGTCACGGTGACGAAGCAGTCCTTAAAGAACCGCGTGCGACTCAGGAGAGAGCCGCACGTTGCCGACCTCGTTGGCGTAGAAGTAGCGACGGAACATGCTTTGCCACCGTCTTCATTGATGCTGATTCACAGCCGCCACAATGTACGCAAGGGAAAATGTATAATTTGGTTCGGTGTATTGGACCAAATCGCCCGCATTGTGTCCAATCTCAGAAGATGAACATTAAAAATAAACACATTTTTTTTTATTTGACCAGGTTAGGTCCACTGAGCTACATGGCTTCTTTTTCAGAAGCGACCTGGCCACAAATTAAAGCTCAGAGAGGTGGCTTATCATGTGGGAAACTTATAACGGCCAAATACTCAAAAACACATGTTGATTCTAAATGTGGAGGGAAAACCCAGAGGACCTGGAGAAAAATCCATGCAACCACGGAGAGAAACATGCAAGCTCCAAATATACAGGCATCAGGGTCGGAATCGAACTCACGACTTCCTGTATACCGGGCGAGGTAGTAAACATCTCGCCACTTTAGCGCCCTAAACTAAGCAGGGTGTAGCCTGAACAGTGCCTGCATTGGTGATACCCGTGCAAAATTGAAACAGCTGTTGACGGCTGCTGCTGCTGCTGCAGGGCTATGTTGTCAGCAGGGGGCAGTGTAGCAAAATGCACTATTGTGCAGTACTATGCTCCAAAGTCTGTGCTCCATTCCTCCACCAATCAGCACTGATCAGCGTGATGAGGTACAGTCAATTAACCCCCATGACCCGCACGGGTGTGGGGAGGCCCTCATCCAGCAGTGGATTGGCAGAAGGGCTGTGCGTGTACGTGTGTGTCCCGTTAGCATTGCACGTACATTTCTCACTGAGGGATGTCACATGGTCTGCCTTTGCAATCATTGCAATATATGTGTTTAGCCATGCTTGTGTTTTCACGGTGGTGCATTCTTATCGCATGGCACTATGAACACGTGGCATCCTTACCAGTGTGCGTTGGCCATGCTGAAGCAGTCCAAGGGCTCAAAGTCCTCGCTGGTCGTCTCCCAGTGGAACTCGTGGCAGGAGATGTTTGATGTGGTCGAGTGGTTCACACTTATTCCTAGTTTCACCTGTCCGTCAAACACATGTAATTATAAACTACCTTTTGCCATATTTACCATCGGTGTTGTGTAAATTTTTTTTTTTAAACATAATGATACTCACGTGAATTATAATGCAACTTCTTATTTTAATCCAGAAAGTATCAGTAGGTGACAACTTCTTAATGTTTTTTAGGAATGTTCTGCATTGGGATGTTTGGAAAATTCCATTTGACAGTTTATTAGGTGTCAAAGAGGAGTAACCTATAGGAAACCCACACTATCAAAGGGTTGGACACTAAACATGTCCACACAGATTGGTGAATATGCTCACTTGTTGTACCGTAAAACATTTTTTGGCCACCTAATTAACCAATCCATGCCTCAAAAGTACTTGAGTAGAGGTGAGCTCGTCTCAAATATCATTACATTTCAGCTCAAATTAAATTTACGTGATACAAGTTACGCATGACTGGTCGCCTGCTTTCTAATTGCTTTAACTTAGTTGAACTTCTGATTTGGTCTATTTGCACACGTTTATTGCTTTTGGCATTGTGGCACGAGATAAATTATCCATTCGGATTTCTCGCAAAGCAGTGCAACCCTTTATGTTAAGAGACCGGTCCACAGAAGAACATATTACAGAGCTACCTTTTAGATCCTTTCCAGCGATCTCTGGGGAACACGTTTGGGGTGGCCTCAAACTCAAGTTTTTATATAAGTTACGAGCATATACTTGATTATAATTGCGCACGTTATTATCCTCATAGCCTTTTTAGAACATTCAAGTTTGCAGCACGACACATCTGTGTATATATATTAGATGGGAGGAGGCCACCTGTGTGACATAGGGTCCTGTAATATCAATCAATGTATTTGTTACACGGAAAGTCCTGTGTAGCAAGTTGCCCAGCAAGTTTGCAAGGTAGATCCGTGGTGCGTCAGCACAGAACAAGAACAACACCGTCGTCGGAGTGATGCGTACAGTGGAACAGGCAACGACGGAGCAGAACGCGTCAGAAGAGGTGCAGGCAAAAATCCCAGCGGGTGTTTTTTTTTGCAAGCGTCGACCCCTAAGCAAGCAGATGCCCCTTGCCTTAGCCTGCGGGCCGATCCACTCCCAGCAGGCAACTGTGCCGGCACCAGGTGCCTCGCTGCAGGCCGTGGGGAGGACCTGGTCCCAGGCGGCGCCCCGCGGCACGCCCAGGCTCCCCGACAGAACGACGTTGCCCTCAATGTTTCGCAGCAGGAAGGAGCCGTTGGCCTTCAGCTCCAGCTCGGCCGTGTTCACCAGCTGAACGTTCTGCTCGAGACACAGGTGTAATGAATTTACTCAACTTTGAAACATTTTTTTTATTTTACCTGGGAAGGCCCACTGAGCTATATAGTTATTTTTCAGAAGTGACCTGACCACAAATGATATCTCAAATACTGTATAACACATGTTTCTGAATGTGGAGGGAAAACCGGAGAACCTGGATAAAAATCCACATGACCACGGGGAGAGAGACGCTGCAAACTTCAAATATACAGGCATCAGGGTTGCGATTGAACCCACGACCTCTTGTATACCAGGCGAGGTAGCTAACATCTCGCAAAGCGCGACCCCCCCTCTTTCAGCATCGTCATCATCACGCCTCATCGATCTACTGCTTGGTAATCGGAAAATGTAAATTAAATTAACCTAAAAGCTCATACACTTGTACCCGTTGTTAGCCACGATCTCTCCACTGATGGATGAGGGCTATATCGTCAATTTGTCGCCATCTCTTACGTTCCTGTGGTACAACAATCCACCAAACACCTGCACACAAGCTGATATTGTCGCTCGATCTCTGCAGTGGATGTCTTCTCGGACATGTTCCTTTCTTTGGCTGCCACCTAGTCGTTAGTCTCGAACACCGGACATCGTCTCTCCTTGCAATGTGTGCTTCCCAAACCACTTACTTTTCAGTCAATTGTTTGTGTAATTTGTGAAATGTTATCTGATCTTACGTTTGTCTGCTTTGTCTCTGTTTCTTCGTGTGCTTTTTAGCATGTGTTAATATCTGTGTCAATGTCCACGTGTTTCTATTGCATATGTCGTAGCAGGTAATTTAATAATAATAATGCACTTTATTTGTTTAGGAAGATTCGCCGAGTCTTGGAACTCTTTTTGAGGATGGTTCTGCATTGGGATGTTTGGCAAGTCCTGTTAATGAGTTTTTGGCATGGAGGATTCACTTTATTGCATCGCAGCCCCAGATCAAGTGAATTTCAATACGCAATGCACTATTCAATGCATTTTAGATTTATACAGCATCTACATGCAATCGCTTCTCCAGATGCTTCACAATAAACAAAACAAACATTTAATCTATATTTACATGAACATTCATAAATGCACTAACACTCGCCAATGCACTAAACTACGCACTCGCACTCGCTCCATCAGAGGTGTGGTTCGCCCGGCTGCGTTGATTTATTCCGAAGCTACATTCAAACATTTTTTTTATATCTGCATTCTTCAAAGATTGACATTTTTTAAAAATAAACTTTATTCCTGGAGCATACATTTAATTTTCCCATTCATTCGCAGCCACAGGGCTCATGTGCGTGCAAACAGAGACGTTTTAAACAGAATATTCTTTGGGTCTTTCGGTAAAGCCACGTAGATAGAACAAATAATACAACAATATCACGACGTTTCCATCGCAACACGAGCAATCGTCATCGGGTGAAAAATATAGCGGGAGAGCTGCTGATATTTTTTATTATTTACCGATAGACGCAAAGCTATTGAATTCCTGCAGTCATGAAGGCTTTTAAGTCAAGATTTTTTTAACAGCAGTTAAAAAAATCCATGCATAATTTTTGATAACCAATATCATGAGTAACGACGTGGATACAACACTATTAAAAGTCTTCCTAATCAAAGCCTAACAATATTCAGAGTAGAGTTTAACAGTGACATTGCATTTTTCGATTTAAAGCTTTCGTGACTGCAAGGATTCATCTTCTTTGGTTCTTTCGGTAAAGTCACGTAGAATGAGAATAAAATAATAAATTGATAAAATAAAATAACACAATAATATTCTCACGACGTTTCGGCCACAACACAAGCGGCCTTCATCAGGTGAAGGGACGAGACTGTCTCATTCTACGTGACTTTACCGAAAGAACCAAAGAAGAAAAGAAAAAGTGACATTGCAATAAGTCACGATTAAGCAAACAATTGGAATCTGAACACAGAAGCGTGGTGACTGTTCTGCTTTACGTACCTCGTCTGCGGTTTCCTTTTTAGCGCTTGGATCGAAGGCAATGAAATACCACAAGAGCACAGCGATGACGACCACGACCGTCACGTTCATGATGACAGCGAGCACGTTCATAGCGCTTGAAGACTTTTTGGCACCCATGTTCATTTTTAAAGGCGACACCATCTCCCGGCTGAAGTCTGCTGTCCCGAAAAGATGACTGCCAAACATTCGTTTACCATAGCTGCCACAACTCGGAAGGGGCGGGGGGAAAAAAAACCCGTGCCAGGTCCTACTTACACATTAACAAACCAATAGCAATTCGTGAAATCTTAATGGCCCACTCTGAAGCAGATATGACAATCGAAAAGAGGTTGGGTGTTCCAAAGGTAGAGTTTACGTCACCGTCATTTGTGGCTGACCAGCCGGCTTAACCGTTTGGTTGTGATTGTTTTCACTTGAAATGGATTCGTCCCGCCTCTCGGCTATTTGGTCTTCGTGAGGCTTAATGTGACTCGCAGTAGTAGTCAGTGTGTTTTTGGCTCTGTAAATATTTGCATTGTGTTCTGGGCAGGGGGGGGGGTCAACAATATGGATTATTAAACACTCCTGAAGAATTGTGGGAGGGAGGGATTGCATTTTTGAATGAGTTGTACTTATTAATTGCATTTTTCCATCTTAAATGTTTACCATGATTATATTCCATTTGTGCTATTGATGTCACGTGATGAGATGAAGGAACCTCCATTTGGAACTGGTGCAGCAAGCACTGCACTATTCTGCATCAGAGAACAGCCCTGAAAGTCGTCTTTGGAGAACTACTTCTGAAGTCACTTCAGTATAGCTCTTTATCCACACAAGGGGCACACCCCTTTATATGCTATTACAAGTTTAAACTTATTGAGAAGAGCGTGGTGTTTGAAACGACATTGTGCTCTTGACCACAAGCTGGCTACCAGGTCACCCATCATCAATGACCTGTGCTGAGAGATCATTTTGGCAAACACCCCTCGGTGGCAACTGGCCTCCAGCTGTGGCCATGTGTTGATGATTCGCAGCGTTTAACATTGACGCCCCCCCCCCCGCCCCTCTCTCTGTGTACTCGCAGATGAAGAACGCCGCATCAGGGAATTTTATCAGTCGAGGGGACTTGACCGGGTCGTTCAGGCTGAAGGTGGGTGAGCGGTTGCCTGTGTGCTGATGTGCCTGTGTATATGGCTGCAAGCGCAAATACAAACCATTCCATGCGCAGAACTTGTTGAATACAATGGTGGCACTCGTTCACCTTATCAGTGTCATTAAGTGCTTGGCACGATCGTCGCCATTGTATAAAGGATGTTAATGTACTTTCAAGACGCAAACCGCAATATTTACAAAAGTATTGTTAAATATTGTCCATATTATATTCTAAATGAATTAATGTAACTCATTGGCAGTGGCGAACAAGCACAATTACTTGAAACAAAAAATGTATGTGGTGATGTTGCAGGCAAAGGCAGGCCCCTCTTCATTGAATATAAATATAGAGGCCAGAGAAGAGAGAGTTCATAAGAGTTGGAGACTGACTGCACTGAACATCATTGGGCCTGATGGACATTTATCTAAAACGTCTTTTTTTTAGGACCAGTTCTTAAATTGCTAGAAACATCAGGGTGGGGGGTTGGGGGGCAGCCAGGGGGCAGAAAGCAGCAGCAACAATAAAAAAAAACTTGGGATGTCTGGATCAGCATCAAATTGTTGCAAACTACGATGCGGCGAAACAGCCGGGCTTACGGCGATCGACGCACGTGACGTTTGTGCTATCGGCGTCGCACCTGCAGAGAGCACGGCTGCGGAGCAGACGTCCCTGCAGAGTCTCCCCTTCGACCTCTCCAAGGCGCACTACTACTGCTACGACGAGCTGGTGCGGCTATGCCTGGAGAGACACGGGTGAGCGGCATACACCCGGGTACCTCGCGGCACGCTCGCTCGCGTCCCCCACACTGTGCGTGCGACCCAACTCGTCGCAGACGGTAGCATATGGCGGCTCGTGGCCGGCTCTTTTTCTGGCTCACAAGGGCAGGATAGCGAGCGTAGAGATGGATTTTAGGTTTAGGGTTGTAACGAGGGCTGGGATAATTCGTCGATTAAGTGAATTACTCGATAAAACATTGTAATCGACTTGTGGTCGATTACTCAGGACTCTTTAATACTCTTGACTATTTTCTATTTTACCAGGTAAGGCCAACTGAGGTGCGTAGCTCTTGTCAAGAAGCGACATGGCCACAATATGATAGCTCAACGAAGTGGCTTGTCATGTTGAAATTTATAGCAGCCAAATACTCTAAACGCACGTTTCTAAATGTGGAGGGAAAAAACAGAATTCCTGGAGAAAAATCCACGTGACAACGGGGAGAGAGACACTGCAAACTCCAAATATATAGGTGTCAGGGTCGGGATCGAACCCACGCATAATGTATACCAGGCGAGATAGTTAACATCTCACTACCGTGGCACCCCAGTAACGGGGGCCACCACCCCCACATCCAGCCACCCCGAAGACAGGAATCCCCTTTGAAGCTGCACCCAGCGCAACGAAGCTGACGTTGCTGACGATGTCACCAAGTTCCGCCCATCGCTTCCCTTCCAGTCTCACGTGTGGGATCGCGGGCAATGCTTTTTTCCCCCAGCTATTTTCTTGGTGTCTGATTTGTCATCAAGCTGATAATTGGTACTGTAATAAATTACTTAAAGTGTGGAATAGCTGTGCCACAAAGGACATGATTGTAAGCGTTGATGGATAGTAGGCTCGGTATGTAACGATGTGCAGATTAATAAATTATAGTTTGATTTTTTTGCTCAAGATACGTGCGTCCAATCGTGATGTGCGTGAGAAAACGATTGGTTCTCATTTGTGTATGTTGTTTGTAATAGGTTAGCTATTCTTAAATAGAATAATAACCCCAAATTGTGACAGTACATCAAATTGCGAGGAGAGCGAGTAGGTAAGATGCCTAATGGGATAAAAAATACTGAATTTGCAGCCATCCTAATTCCACTGCTGGATGAAGTCCTTCACGCCATGGGGGGTTGTTTAATCATACTTCACCACGCTAGTCAGTGCGGGTTGGTAAAGGGAGAGGTGCACAGGGGGACCGGTTGAGATATGACTCGCCGCTGATGTTATCCATGGCCAGGAATTGAACTCTGGCCGTCGGGTGTATAGTGCATTGTGCATATCACTTCACCCCGTAGATAACTCTTATTTATGGCCAGGTAAAGCCCATTCAGATGAGAAGTGTGTCTTTAAGGGGGACCTAGGTTTAAATAGGTACAGCAAAAACAGCATAGAGCATGTGAATCTGATCGGGTGTAGGCAGGAGTTTGACCAGTTTTTGGTCACGGTGCTATTCAATCGCATTAAATTACTTCTTACGCCGATGCATTTTGGCCCCAACACATGCATAGAAATTAGGCTTTTGCCCCCGTGAAATGTAAAAAAATTCTCCCCGCAAGGCCGTATAACGCAGCGGCGAGCAGGGAGAAATACACCGTTAATACAGCTGTACCGAAAGTGAGCTCTCCAAAACGAGTTGTTACTGCGGGGAGCGATCGGACAGAAGGTGCAAACGTATTTAAGGGGTGGTAATTGATTTAAGCGTTTTGTGGTGCAGGCCGTGCACGCGAATCGGGGAGATTTACCGCGTGCGCTGCGGCGGGAGGCTGTTGGCGGAGTGCGTGATTGATGGCTCCAGTTAAAGATGTTTACCGCATGCGTCTCGCGCCGGCACTGCAGTCTATCAGCCCATCGACCGCCCGCCCAACTACCAGCAAAAAGCCTGCGCTTAAGTGCAGCAGGCCGGCGCAAACGGGGGGGGGGGGCGGTGGAGGGGGGCTTGTGCCCAGTTTCTTCCCGCGAACTCTCCCCCCTCATCCTCGTCCTCCTCCATCCTCTATCTCCTCCCACCAAATGAGACAAAAGCGCTTCTGGGAATGAAACAAAGACATTTCAACAATTCTCTTAAAGTACAATCTGATCACCGGCAGTGTCGTTGAAATACCGAGTCCTTTAGCAAAACCAAAAAACCTTAATGTCCCTGTCGGCTTGATGGGGCGTTATGGTTTTTCAGACATTTTACACATGCACGTATTTTCGTGTACATTCTTTACTTATTTTTTTCTTGGTATTTATTTGTCGTAGTTGAAGAGAGATCGCATACCATAAATAAGAAAGTGTTTCCTAATTATATATTACCTGCTGTGAACAATGGACGAGAAACATGGGCGTTGAGCAATTAACATGGAACTAAAGATGAAAAAGAAGCGTCCAAAGGTGCATGCTTGGCACTACACTGAGAGACAAAAGGAGAGACATAAATCGGAGAACGTTCGCAAATTAGCGACATCGCATTTCTGTTCGGCAAGAAATAACGATGGGAGCGGTGGCTGAAGGGGAAATGTGCATCATGTGCAGCTGATTCATGAGACTTGAGAGACAGAAACAGTTTGGGAAGGCCTTCATCCAGCAGTGGAAGGACCATGGAAGCCGATCGTGGTATATATGTTTGCATTTTTGGTTAATTACATTGACGTTTAAAAATGTACACTTTGTGGGAGTGAAAATTAATATTAACAATACATTTAAATTGATTGTAGAAGTTACATTCCAAACGATAAGGTATTGAATGTATTAAAAATGACTATTTAACTTTGTAAAAAAAAAACATGCATAAAAGTTCCTAGTTAAGTATTGACGGTGTTATTAATAATGTGAAGGGGGTGAGGGGAGGGAGAGAAACCAAAACACAGTGATACGAATAATGTATTCTACCAAGGTAATGGCCAAACGAGAAAATACTGCAGTGATTGGAAAAAAATGGCCTGGAGGCTTGACCGTGCCGAGTTAATTTGTAAGACGGTTTTACTTTCTCTTTTTTTTCCCGCTCTTTTCTTCAACACCGAGCTCTTTGCGGGATGGAGCCTCGAGGCTCGGAGCGGTGGGTGGCCTCGCCTTGCCCCCCCCCCCTCGCCATCTCACCGCCTGCCGCTGACGGATTGTGATTGGGCTTGAGAGATTGCCGCGTGTAGTTGGCCCCTAATTGAAATCGACCAATCTCTCGCTTCGCGTCTCAAGCAATGTGTGTCACGTTGATGGCTGGCCCGCGTCACTTGAGGGGTTGGGAGGCGGGGGGGACGGAGTGGGGAGAGAAGGGACGGAGAGAGTTCAAGGCTGCGGCCACCCTGTCCATATTCCCGCTTGGGGTGATATCGGGCGAGGTTTTCGATGGGGTTGGGGGTCAAATGCGTGGGGAGGGTGGAAAAAAAAGGACTATAGAAGGTGGGAGGGGGTGCGATGGCCAACGGGTGGGGCAGGCGAGGTCGGGAAGGGTGCGAGGCAGCGGGAATGAGAGAGGCTGTTTGTAA